GGGAGCCGGGCTGGCCGCCCCGGGCAGCCTCGCAGCGACCCGGTTCTCCTCAGGGTCTCGCCCGCGGCCGGCCGCGCCTCAGCTTTGGTTTGTAAATGAGCCGAAAACCTGCGGAGCCCCGGGCTGCTGCTTCCTCCACGCTCTCTTGGGGAAACTGCCCTGCTCGCTGCTTCCAGCCCTGTCCCTCTTCCGTCGCTGGGTTCGTGTCCGGCAGGGCTCAGCTCCCCGCGCTCTCCTCGCAGCTGACGCTGAAGTGGGTGCCGAGTCGGCCTCGTCTCATGGGAACCTGTGGAAAGCGGCAATAACAGTTACAGATAACAGCTACGTGCGACCAGTCGCTTGGCACTAGCGTTACCTGCGTCCAATGACCCAGTCTGCCCCATATTCCCGTTTTGGGTTAACCCACCGCACGTGTGGGCTCTCACGACATTCATGTGCTCTGGTCACCTCTTGCCGCAGGCAACGAGTGGTCATGAAAACACATCGTGTGTCTGGTGGCCAGAGCTATCCAACTGTTTACATGATCCTGTAGATCTTGGTATAACAGTTTGGATTTATTTTCCCTGCAATATTTGGTGCCAATTGTTTGGTTTTTTGGGACTTCCTACACGTGCTGAATGACAGGCTTAAAATCCTGTGAGGTGCTGCTGGCTTCAGGTTTGAGCAGTGGTGGTGCCCGGGTGCTGAGCAGATCCGCTTTGGGGGTTCTCGCTGCTCCTTCGTGAAACGGAGCCGTGTTTCTGTCAGCTCCAGGTGCTACTGAACCCTTCTGCAACAAGGTGCTTAGCAAATGGAAGCTGAAATATTTCAACCTTACAGTTTAAATAGCAATAACAAAACTGAAAGTTCTAAATATATGTCCATATTTATTCGTACGCCAGAGGTCTGTGTGAATGACAAATGCTAAAATGAACATTAGATGTGAGAGAAGTTCCCTAACTTCCTCCTGGGTTATGAATAGCTCTCAAACGCGGCTCTGTGCAGCGAGTTTTCCTGTACTGAAGTGCACGTGTTCCTGCAGAAATGGTTTTTGCTGTAGCCCGAGCGAGGAAGGCAGGCGAGCTAGAGCAGCCCTTTGAGGGCAGGGATGTCCTGAACGGGGCTGCCGTTTTGGTGACACGGTAACGAGCTGCTGGTTGCGCTTTGCTGCTGCTGTTCGTTCCCCTGGGGCGACCACAGGCTGCTCCCCTCCAATCTGGGCCGTGCATCAACTTGAGCAGGAAAATACCTCACCTCTGCAAACCGTAGGAGCACATGAAGTGACTCAGATGTTCAGTGTCACAAACTGTGAATCTCACTGAGCTCCAGGCTGAGATTAGGAAGTCTGGGATGCTGTGGAAGCTGACAGAAACACAGATGATGTGTCTGAAAATACACTGTGTGCTTCTGAAGTCATCCTCTGCCTGCTTTGCAGGGGATTTCCCTGCTGCGAGTGAGCGAATGCTGATCGGAGTTAAAAATGAATAGCAGCTCAGGAAAGAGGAACTTAAAACAATCTTCTGGTAAGCCCCAGCCCCAGGGAATTCACCTAAAATAGCCCAGTGTCCTGGAAAAGCAATTACCTAAAAATGAGAATAAGGAGCTGTGCGATGGCTGACGTGGCGCGTCCTGGCGGGGCGTCCCCGGGCACCCCGCTCCCCCGGCCCATAACCCTGCGCGTCCCGAAGCGGAATCTGCGCAGGGAAGCGTCGCCGCTGGCAGCTTCGTTAAAGCAAAAACCCACCTCCCCGAACCGGCTGCGGTGGGCTGGAGTCATTGCTCACCCCCGTTTGCCTCTTTTAACAACTTAATAACTCCAGTATTGAGTAAGTCTTTAAATGAGAGTTCCTTGGTGGAAGTCTGGATTAAAAGTGGGGTAATATCGATCGCTCCTAAAGCCGATCCGTACAGAGAGGATCAGGCTGGATCGTGGGAGGTGGTGGTGAGGAAGAAGGAAACAAAACAGCAGCAGGGAGCAAAGTGAACCTGTCCCAGCAAACAGCGAGAGATGACAGATGGGCACGTGGTGCACAGAGCTTGACCGGAGGTTTTTAAAAGTGCCCGTGTGTTTTGAGTACATGCATATTCAGCACCTGTTACAAATGAAACCTTTCCTTCCGTAATGTCAATTATCCGCGAGTTTGCACATAGTCAAGTTTTTATTTTGTTCTGCAAGCGAAGCTCCAAGGCTGCCTCTGAAATAGTTCACAATCTTCCAGTTCTTGTAGGGTATAGCTCTTTTTTTCTCAAAGCAGAAAAGGAGCTTTATGTTTAAATGATTTCATGTTGACACAGACTCCATTAAAAGGGAGGTTTCTTCCATCCGGGGTTGGTTAGGTGTGTGCTCCTCGGCTTCCTGAGCAAGTGGGATGTGAAGGCCTCTAGAAATAGGACAGGACCATCCGTAGCTGTTCTTCTAACCAAGCGTTGCTGAACAAAAGTTCTAGCTAAATTGCTTGGCAGATCTAATAACAGGAGGGAAATTGGTAGAATTCCATAGATCCTATGGGGAAAATGGGGAAAAATGAGGAGATGAGAGTAAAGAGTTATATAACCTGCAAGTCCATCAGAGCTAAAGGCTCCTGGGCTGCTCAGTCCCAGCACAGAGGTGGGTCCTTTCCTGGGTCCTGTCAGTATTTGGGAAGCGTTGTGCAGCTGCGGTTGTGCACCCTGACTGCAAATCTGCCACGGGTGCCCAAAGAAAGGAGGGAGAGGAAGATGTCGCAGGGAAAAATAAAGCGTCTTCAGCTGCCCTTTACTGTGATGGAGGTGAAAAAGGGTGAACGTGTGGAGCGACAAGGTGGTTCCCTTGGCACAAGAAAACCAAGTTAAAATTAAAAAGTGGATGGCTCCTGCTGAGCAATAATATAAACCTGCTGAGCAGCTTTCTGCTGCAAAGGCAGCGTGGGCCTTCCAAATGTTGAGATCAGCTGATTTTTAAATGCCAAAGGTCTTTCAGATTCACCCCACCATGAGGTGGATGGAGTGAAAGGCAAAGAGCCACCAGGTTGCAGTGCACGGTACTGCTTAATTTTAATTTTCATTTTTTGGCTAGAGCTGAACACAGCTACAGAAACTGTCTCGTCTGCGAGGAAATCCCAAGAGCTGTTCTAAACTGGAGAAGACTTTGCGACAGTCTCTTATCTCTGCTGACTTAGCTGTTGAATAATGTCCAACTCAAGGCCACAGATGGCAAACCAGTTAAACTCTCAGGCAACAACCGTTTAGTTCTTTAAGTGGAACGAGTCCAGAGAGTTTCTTTCATGGAAAAGTTGACTGACCTTGCATAACACCCTGTGTAAATGACTTAACGGCCGTTGTGCTCGACAACAGCTGTGTTGGTTGTAATAACCATGGACACTGCTTGCAGTGTGGTGTGATCAGCACCCGAGCAGCCTGTGGCCCTGCTTCAGCTTTATGGTTGAAGGGAGGAGAACACGTGAAACCTTTAGGGCAGGAACTGTCTATAGCGCTCACATAGCCTGCAGCACGAGCTGTCTTGATCCAGATTCAAGTCTCTGGCAACTCGGGGGGAGAAAAAGTGCTGAAAAACACACAAAACTCTGCCAATACCCTGGCGCTTTCTTCTAATCTGCATCTGTTACATAAAATGCACGAGTGGCTGGGGATCCCTGCGGCCTGTGTTCACGAGGGAACCTCGTGCCCGAGCGGTGCTGCGGGGAGGCCACCTTCGGCCCGTCCCTTGAAGCCGCTTTGGTCTCTTAGTACACAGGTAGCAAGAGCAACGTTGTAGGAAGTGCCACGAGGAAAGCTGCCTAAATTCCTTGCTGTCTTTGCGAGGGTGTTGGGGAGGTCTCGTTTCTACGACTCTTCCTGTGCAAGGGAGGTGCTTCGGAGGTGGCATCCCGGAGTGCTGCTCTCGTGTTAACTGAACTCCTGTATTGCGAGTTCTCGCCTGCAGCGGCAGCTCGTGCTTTGAGCAGCATCGTGCAGGGGGAGAACACGTCAGCGCCGGAGGCTGCCCCGGCCGCGGGGTTCTCAGTCGATGACCAGTCCCTCCCCCAGCCCCTGCTTATGGTGTCTGAGTCACTGGGTAAAACGGATCTTTCCTTTAGCTGGTGTCTGCCGTCGTTCAGGCAAATCTGCTCGCCACGCTGCCTGTCTAAGCCCCTTCTGCCTAATGCAGGCACAAAGCAGCAAGCTAAAATCCTCTCTCTCAGTGAGATTCCTCTCCCGTCCCTTAGAATTTCACTGAACCTGTGAACACTCAACCTGTCAAGCTGCAAAACGCACAGGCATTCAAGGCATGGAAACCTTGAGCAAAACGGATGGGGCTTTCAGTGTCAGAAGATACCCCCCTGAGGTGATGAAACCCTGCAGTGGCCAAGAAGCGGCTCGGGAGCTGCTGCAGACCCGTGTGTGGAAGCGCTGGGTTTTGCGCGAGCAGGTCGAGCACACGCGATTCGAGCGCGCGGGGCGGCCGGGGCTGCCGCCCGTCCTGCTGCCGCCGGGCGCTCAGGTAGGGAACGGCCGCCGGAGCATCCCGGGCGCGTGAGCCGCGGGGGCCGCGTGGCGTGACGAGAGCTGCCTTATAAGGAGGCCGGTGTGGGGTGACGGGCCACTTCCAATTGCGAGGCAGGGAACACATGACATAAGATGCTGTCGAGCCGCCTTGTGGGCGCTAGTTTAAAAATAAAGGCTATTGCACAGCTGTGCTCGGGAGGCTGCGGAGCCGCGGCACAAAGCGCCCACCATGCGCTGTAAGGCTGGGGCGGCGGGAGGACTGAGGGCTGGGGGCTGGTTTGGGGCAAAAAGGCTGAAATTGAAACATTAGCCTCACAGCAGCTCTTACAAGCTGCGAATAGCATGCCTGGTTTTGGAGATGAGAATGGATTTGTGTTTTGCTTCTGATTAGGCTGTTCCAGTGATGCTAATGTGCGCTTAATCCACTATTAAAATTAACTGTGTTTTATGTGAATACATTAAAATTAACTGTGATTTATGCGAATACGGCAGTTTTGAGTTTGTTTACCTTGATCAGATAGCTGCATCAATGGAAACAGATTTCGGTGTGGCATTTGATTCTATTTTAATTTTTTATTATATGTGTTTTTTTACAGGGACAACGCTGTGTGAGACAGATACACGCATGGCACTCGCAGAACCAGTTCCTGCAGCTTATCTTGATTCAGATGCTCAAGGGAAATACGAAGTGTCGCTAGACGATGTACTGGTCAGCTCTCCAGCTAGGTTGGTGTAATTTAAGACTTAGTCTTCTCTGTATATGTAGTATATAGCTTTTAATGCTTATTTAGATTAATTAGATTAATAGATTAATTGGGACATTAAGATTTTGGGGGGAAGAAATTTCAGATATTTGGTACTACTTTAAAAAATTGAAAATTGCATGTACAGTCTGGTTATCTCCTAAAGAGAAGAGGAAATACTCACTGTAGTTACCACACAGAATCCGGAACCTAACTTATGAAATAAATTGAGCATTTACTATATATTTAAAGCATAGGAATGGTAGAATGTTTTGCATTTGTTTAAAAGATCATCTCTCATAAAGGAATTTTGTTACATCTACTTAATTGGGAGGCACTTCTGAAATACTTAAGAGTGCATAATAGGTAAGCACATTTGTTTGTGAAATGTTACTTTGCATAGGTTGATATTTATCAGCCTAGACAATGTGTTAGTTCATCTGCAGCTCTAAATAGCCTCTTTACTAGAGAACAGATTAGCATTTAAGGGTTTAAACCCCATCATGGTTTAAACCCCATAATGGGATGTAGCCGACAGGCTTGCAAGACACTACTTTTTTCATGCAGTATTTGAATTGCACATAGTAAGGGAGAGAAAAGAATAGTTTTTGATTCACTGCGAGGAAAACGGCTGAGATTTTTTTCTGGTTATTTTACTGAGTCACTTGCATGCTCTGCTTATAAAAGCAGGTGGTGAAATGATGCAGAACTCTTGCAACTGAGGATTAATCTGTGCTCTGAAAAGCTTCTTGGTAATGAGGAAATGGAGAGTAAGAAAGATGTAGTAATCCCTGGGGGAGAATTAAAAAAACTTATTTACTTCTCTCTGGTTTCTAGCTTACAGATCAGATCAGAGAGGCAATTCTGCTTTTGGACACTGCGCAGGACTAGCCAATACCACATTTTCTCTGTTCCTTACATCCTGTGATATCAATGTCCAAAGCAATTACAGTTTACCATCCCCTAGAAATTCGGAGAAAATGTAATAGAGACGGTTTGCTCGTTATGCGCAAGTTCACATAGTACCTGGTGCTGATTTCTCTTTTTGATTTAGTAGGAAGGGAGGAAATGTGACATTTAGGTGGAACCGAGTCAGAACTAGGCTGAGGATTTTGCACAGATTTGGGGCCAAAGAGGCACTTGGCAAGTGCATTCTGATCAGGAGAGACGGAAGTACCAGGGCTTATTTTGGTCACAGAATTGCCCCCGTGGTGGCACAGGGATGTGCACAGGGCTCAGGTGGGTTCAGGTGAGGGTGATGTCTGTGATGTCATGAGACCCTGGCGCGTTCCAGAAGACCAGGGCTCTTCCAGACCTGGGCAGTGCTCCCCTCTCTGAAAGCCAAGGGTCAGTACCTAAAGAAAAAGGCAGCTTCTCACCAAAAATTGCAATGGGGAAGAGTAAGTATCTAGCGTTGATGTAAAGCAACAAGCACCTTCATGACAGCCTGGAGCAAAGGACTCCTGGAAGGACTGCTCAGCAAGGCAAGATGGAGCTTATAATTTTTATACAAAATGATAAATATAAATACAAATATATAAATAAAAATTATACCTGGGTAGACTAAACTTGGACCATAGAGCTTAGATAATGGTACAAATAGGGTGTTAGTGCAGGGTATGTGCAACAAGTGCCAGGGTGTGGAAACAAGCATCACTTTTCTGTTAGTCAGGGGTGGGAAGTGTCGTCGTAGGGAGCAGAGCACAAAGAATCAGGTATCAGATCTCTCAGGATGTAGCTTCCACCTTGCAGGCTGCAGAGTGGGACGTGTGACTCAGTGATTCCATATCCCCAAGGCTTATGAGTTTCACAGAGTTCTTCTATTTGGAAATTGGAGGAGGAACCACCGTGGGCTACAAAAACTAGTGCATGGCCTTTTACCAGATCCACAAGGTCGAGAATGAAAGGGGCAGCTGTCAACTGTTATATTGGCATGATTTCCTTAGGAGGAGCATGGTTAAAGGAAAGGAAAATGCCCAAGACTGCTTCAGTTTCTTCACAAACATCTGGTGGAGCCTGTAGTGCCTTTCTTAGGAATCCCTGAGAGAAGATTTCCTGCTAAAACAATTTCCTGCTCTTCAGCTGGCCCAGCCTCCTGCAGGAAATCTTTGGGGGCTCTCGCAGGAGGTTACTAATGTGGTTTTTGCATAGGAGGCTGCTGGGGCCTGTCCTGCTCTTTCTCTCTGCTCTCGGCTTTGTTTCAAGCATCTACAGCACACGTGTGATGCTAAATTCTACCTGCTTTCTGGACACAGGGTTTGCAGGTTCTTCTGCAGCTTATCTGAAAGGATAGTTACAATTAGGACAACACGCATGGGGGTACGAAAACAATGTGGGCAAAGCCTGCAGGCTTTCTGGGATGGGGCTGGAACAGGGCAAACTGAGCTAGTGAAAGGAACAATAAAGCCAACTACAGAAAATCAGGAACCACTGATGCTTGTTTGGCATCTGAAATGAGCACCTGAACTATATGAATGAACATGTGTTGTTTTCAGGCAGTGTGTTCATGCCTATCCCGTGCTAACTGCTTTTGTCTTGCAGAGCTGTTGAGAACAACGCTGAGACAGCTGAAGATACCAAGACAGAGGAGGCCGAAATGGACATGTTCCGTTACAGAGGTAACAGAAAGAAACAGGTTGCTCTCATATACCTAGGATAATTACTTAAATGAGAGAGAAAAAAGTACTAAACATTGTAGAAGAGCCTCAGAAATACAGGATAGCCTCTCCAGAAACCTCGTGAAGTTACTGTGAAGCACTGGTGATTACGTCAAGGAATAAAATGGGTAGTGTCACAGCCTAATGCCTATCTACCAATAATCATGTGCTTCTATCCTCCTCAGAAAAGACGTACAGTGTATTTGACCATTGCAGGAAGCTGCCACACTTGCCTGTACAGAGGTTTTGAGTAGAACAGGGTCATCCTGTTAAGCAGATTCAAGGGCAGGATTATTGAAAAGGGAAACATAACTTCTTGAATGTCTTTTTAAGGCTTCACCTGCTCATCCTTTTCTAAAATAATGACCAAGAAATAAGTCAGAAGAAAGGTAGAAAGGTCCATACTAGCATTGCCTTTCATGCATCTGATACATGTGCGAGCACACACTGCTGTTACGGCAGCAAGCAATTTCCCAATACAAAATATTGAACGCTTTTCTTTCAAACCAGTGTTTGCCTCTTCTGGACCTGCTGCGTGGACAACACGACGAGATGGAGAAGTCAAACTGAGGATGGAGGAACATGGCATAGGCAGTGAGGAACCAAAGACGGTTCACGCGCTGCTTGACGAAGCCGTTAAAAAATACGGCAACCGTTACGCCCTCGCGTACAAAAAGAGTGGCCGCTGGATGAGGATGTCCTATAAGAGGTACTACGAGGAATGCTGGACTGCAGCAAAAAGCTTTCTGAAGGTAAAATATTGTTGAAATCCCCCGCTTCATCTTCAGGCAGTTTGACTGCTGGACTGGCTGTAGTCAAACGTATCTTAAACCTGCAATTTCTCTGGGTATCTGAGCCCTAAAGTGATAGGGAAATACCTGAAAATGGCCAAAACCATTTGCTAATTATCACAAAGCTTTTGTTTAAATTCTTACAAGCTGCTTCCCCATGCGACTAAATGAAAGGGAGTCTGAAAACCTTAAAAGGAGGTATTTGAAACATTTGGCAAACCTGGACAAGAGCCCCTTGTGAGACATATAACTTTAGTTTTTCCAGGAAAAAATCTTCAAGAGATACATATGAACTCAACTTAAATGAAAAACTGTCTAAAGCTTGGCTGTACTGTTGGGTGTTAAGCCCCTCAAAAGAAGAGAGAAACAACCAGTACGTGTATTTCCTGTTATCATAATGTCTCACTTCTTGAAGACAGGGCCCCTATGTTTTTCCCCTCTAATGTGGGTGATTCCAGTACCCATAATTGTGCTCTCTGTGGTGCAAAACCAGAAAGAATGGTTGAAGTGGTTTTAAAGACTTGGACATCAACGTTTGGAATTTAATTGCAAAATGCCTGTGACTGTCATTGGGACTTGTTGTTCTTGACATTTATTAATGCCTGATATATTTAATCTGTATTAAATGACTCTGAGCAGGTGGTGTTTATCTCACCTCTTATCTTCTTCCCAGCCCAAGACCACAAAGGGAACTGATAACTAATCTTGCACCTTTACAATGTTGTTTGTGTCAGTAAGCAAGTCACGGTGAATGCAGATCTATGCACGTTGTTTTCCCTGCCTACTGATGGACAATGTCTTATTGTGAAACTTGACTGACTCCGTGTTAAGTCTATATTTTTCTATATGAATTATCTCATCTAAGAGCATGAACTTTTCTCTTGACATAGTGTTTGCAGGAAAGATGTGCCAATTAAAACTGTGTTCTGCAAGCAGAAAGCAAGATGGCTGTAATCTCATCTCTTGTTTTCAGCTGGGACTAGAGCGTTTCCATGGCGTGTGCATCTTGGGATTTAATTCTGCCGAGTGGTTTATTGCTGACATTGGAGCCATCCTTGCAGGGTAAGGCTGAGTATTGTCTCTAGACATGCACTGCACTTTAGTCTTCAGATAGTGATTTCTGTATTACATGAGAAGCTGTTTTTGATTAAAACCAACAAACAAAGAAAAAAGTGCTGCTTAATTTGAATTTAATGAGGATAGCTGAAGCCTAAACCATCCTTTTACTTGATTATGAATTAATAAGACTAAAAACATTTTTTTTAGCCATATACTTCTCTCAACCTAAACAATAGGTTAATCCAAAAGCAGGCTTACTTGCACTTTGATTAAGAATATGATGATGGGAAAGGCTAGAGATTCACAGTACTGATTTTTGATAGCTTTTTTTTTTTCTCCCATCTGAGACACTTTGGGCCCTTAGAATATTTTGACATTTCCCATGCTCCAGAACAGAGCGTTTCCTCTTGAAACTAAGCCCTTGACTTAATCAGTGATGCTGCTCATCTGCTAATTTTGCATTTTGCTTTGTTTTTTGCAGTGGACTCGCTGTTGGTATCTACACTACAAGCTCTCCAGAGGCCTGCCACTATATTGCTGAGAACTCCAGCGCTAACATTATTGTTGTGGAAAACCATAAACAGCTGCAGAAAATCTTAGAAGTAAATACACCTCTTAAAATGGGTGGAGGCTACAGCATCCTACAGATGTGGGAGGGTAAAGATTCCTGTGGGAAGTGCTCTACCTGAAAGCAGCAGTGAACTGACCAAGCCTTCTTGGTGTGTTCCCTGTTCAAGCCAGATGGGCAGTCTCTGCTGCTGACTCTCACTAGAAGTGAAATGGTTGCTCCACAGTAGACCAAAACCTCAAGCTTAAAATATCACAAGGCAAAATGAACAATTGAAAATCTCCTAGGTTGTATGGCCACATCCCAGTCCAGATGATTATTGTCTCTGCTGAAGTTTCCCTTTTCTCTTTCAAAAACACAGACTAAATTCTCTTAACTTTTCTTAAAACAGCAAGTAACAGTAGCATATTCCATTGTGCAGATAGCTGCATGTTCACTAATGGGTTATTTAGAGTAAATCCTGCTTGTTCTTTTTAAACATTTCTGTTGAATCTCTATTCTTAACACAGATTGAGCATAAACTACCTCATCTGAAAGCGATTATCATGTATGGGGAAGAGCCAAAGGAGAAAAGACCAAACCTGTATTCTGTAAGTACCAGCCATCTTAATGGCTTGTAAATGGCAGCGTTTAGCCTGCTGGGTTGCAAGGAACCGTCTCTTTTGTGGGGTTGTCATAGTGGGAGCTCCTGGTGGCTTTGAGGAGGAAGCTCTTGCCTAGCTTAAGTGGTAGATCTTTGCTATTGCCCAAACCTTGACAATCCCTCTTGGAAGGGAAGGGTGTCCTGACCTCTGCGAGGCAGTGTAAGGTCCCAGAGTTATTCCCACTTGGCGTTCTCGATGGCTGCTGAGGTTGCTACGGTGCAATGTGCCTGCAAAAGGCTAGTGGTTTGAGTACCACTTCCTACATTGAAAAATAGCACACTCAAAAATGAGAGCCTGTGTTCATATGGACAACAGCACTCTTCCTGTTGGCCCTGGTTTGTAGGATTGTGACTTTGGGTGTACACAACTCACCCCCTAGACAGTCATCCTCTCCCGCTGAAGTGTCCCTGCTGCACTGAGCCCCTGGGACTGTCCTGTTAGTCAAGGTACAATAAAACTGCAGGAGGTAATTGCTGCAGAACTAGAAAACTCCTTCAAGGTAGATCTCTCCTTTTTTGCTTCCTCCCCTACCTCCTGTGGCAGCCAGAAATGCCATGGTTAATACTGTGTTTTTCACAACCTCTCACAAAGTCTGCCAGGCCTGTCTGTACTGTTTTTGGATATAGACCTTTTAGTATTTTATGTTTTTTTATGTATCCCTTGCTTTGCAATTAGATTCCTTGTTGTTCTAGTAAGACGAACAAGTTTCCTTGACTTCATGTGTAGCAAAGGGTTTAATTTCGTATGTGCAAGCCTGCAAGGTGCTGAAGCTCTTCTCTTCTGCATGCAGTGGGCCGAGTTCATCAAGCTCAGTGATCAGGTTGCAGACAGTAATCTCTTGGATATCGTGGAGTCGCAGAAGCCCAACCAGTGCTGCACACTAATATACACCTCAGGAACGACTGGGCAGCCCAAGGGAGTGATGCTCAGTCACGACAATGCAAGTATCCCGGTCTACTGCTATCAGAGATGCCTGTTTTGAGAGCTGTGCACTCGGGGGTGCTGAGGGAGGTCAAGCAGAGATGGGTTAAAGGCCAGACGTCATCTTAAAATTCCTGGGACTCTTAGACTTGCTTTGTGAGCTTGCACGTTCTGTTTGGTACCTGCTTGGAACAGTTGTCACTGAATAGTAACCTGGCTCCTTTCGTCACAGCTGACGTGGACTGCGGCAGCCGCGGGGACTTTCATACAGCTCTCAGAGGCCCTGGACAAGCAAGAGTTGGTGGTCAGCTACCTGCCCCTCAGCCACATCGCTGCACAGATGATAGATATTTGGCTGCCATTAACTTTCGGTGCCCAAGTTTTCTTTGCTCAACCAGACGCATTGAAGGTAAAATAGAAGATAATGAAAAACCTTTGCCTGTGTACTTGTTTGCTGGGGATGGATGCCTTAAAACAAACTTAGCTGACTTAACACAGCTTTTGGGCTTGTAAGGTTAGCTCAGCTTGTTTGCATAGCAGCAGATGGCTCCTGGTGAATGGTCTGTTGGTTTGAGGAGTGTGTCTGACCTTTGCTTTTTGGCTTTGTGTTACAAGTTAAGTCAGGATGAGCTGACCAAGCACTTGGCAGCGAGAAGCTCCTTGGTGTCTGACCTGACACTAGTTTTCTGCTTCAATGGCATGGTTGAGCAATGGGTTTGTATTTGTTCTGTCCATATTGCAAAATGCCACTGCAGTTAAATCTGCGTCCTGAGAAGAGAATGGTGACATGACACAGCCTTGATGCTGTGTCAGTGTGGGCATCAAAAACATCAACCCTTACTGCTGCTTCAAAACTGCCTGAATATCTCTGGAATTCTTTATTCTTGTGGAGCATGGCAAGGCGAGAGCTGGTTTTGTCTGGAGATGCTTTGGTTGCACTCAGCTGTGATGGCATTTCTGTTTTAAACTGCAGTGATTCCTGAAAACTGGCAGAATCCTAAGCCTCAGCCAGTGACCAGTGCTGACCTGAGATCCATACAAAAGTGGTTCTGAAAGCTGTATTAAATTCTGCTTCCCTAGGGCTCTTTGGTAGACACCCTGCGGGAGGTGAGGCCAACGTCTTTTCTGGGAGTTCCTCGTGTCTGGGAGAAAATGGAAGAAAAAATGAAATACGTGGGTGCAAAATCATCTGCACTCAAAAGGAAAGTGGCGTCGTGGGCCAAGGAAGTCGGGTTGCAGACAAATCTGAAACAGATGAACGGGTAATTACAACCTGCATTTGAAGGGTGTTATGAATCTTGGAGAAGAAGATCAGAGAATAATTTATATTGCATTTAATGGGCCAAGACTTGTGGGAAATAAAACCCGAAGAAAGTAGCTGTGGTAACGAGGCTCAGAGCTTGTTTGGTGTGGGGAAGAGGACTTTTGTTGTTGTTTTAATTGAATAAGCTGAAGGCGGGAGGAGGATGAGGAGAGTGGGGAGAAGTTTTACTTTTTCTGAGATTTTGTGGTCGTTCTTTTCCAGGAATACTCAAGTCCCGGTGAACTTCCGCCTAGCCAGGCGCTTGGTTTATAAGAGGGTGCGAAAGGCTCTTGGGCTGGATCGGTGCACAAGGTGCTACACGGGAGCTGCTCCAATTACCAGGGAGACCCTGGAGTTCTTTCTGAGCCTGAACATTCCCGTGTACGAGCTGTACGGCATGAGCGAGTGCTCCGGGCCTCACACCATCTCTCTGCCTCACGCGTTCAAGCTGACCAGGTGAATCCGCTTTCGTGGGCAGGGTGCTGCTCACGGGGGCAGCAGAGCTGCTTTAAGGTTTCTCTTGCAGGACTTGTCTGTCTCAATTCTTTCAGCTTCCCCTAGATTCTTGCTCCTGTTAAATAAATAAATAATAGAGAGCCAGTTGTTTTGGCCATGTACGGGAGATGAAGCGGTTGCCAAGGCTAACGGCAGTGCTACTTAAATTTAAATTGGCCTGGGCTCCTTAGGAACTGAGGAGGAAGTAGGGGATTTGTGGGAGAAAAGAACAATTAGTAATTCTAGCCGACAGTTCAACTTAATATCAAATTTATAAAGGCCTTGAACAAACTGCTGCTCCTTTGAATGGCTTGTGCAGTCTCTGAGTGTCTGCTCTACAGAGTAAATACCCCTGTCAGGAATAGTTTGCTATCAAGGACACAAATCTTCTAATTTGAAATCTCAGGTGTTGGAGAACAATACATGGAAAACACCAGGTGTGTGAGCACTGATCTCTCTGCAATAATGAGTTTTTTGTAGCTTCCATTACAGAAGCAGATGCCTTTTAAGTTTATGAATTCCCTGTTGAAGCAGTTGTTAATAACAGGCTGCCTGGCTTTGTTCAAACACTTTATCCTGAGTGGGTGCTGTTGTCCTCTCACTCTGCTGCTTAGCTATTGCATGAAAGAGAAAAAATAGTTGAATTTGGTTTGTGTTCTCTTTGTCTAAGCTGTGGAAAGGAAATTACTGGCTGCCGGACACTGATTCATAAGCCAGATGCTGAGGGCAATGGGGAGATCTGCTTCTCTGGAAGACACGTCTTTATGGGCTATTTGAACATGGACGCTAAAACCAAGGAGGCAATTGATAAAGATGGCTGGCTGCACTCGGGGGACCTCGGCAAGCACGATAAGGATGGATTCCTCTACATCACAGGCAGAATTAAAGGTAACGTGGCCTTGCTTTTGAGCTGTTGTCTTGGGGTCAGGTGATCCAACATGGCACCTGGTGCCCATGAGCGCTCCTGTGTCCTGGCGTGGGCGAACGTTCACAGAGCGCTTCTCCCACTGGAGCTTTTGCTGTGACCTCACCTGCCGTGGGTGCAGAGCGCGTTGCCAGAGAAGGGAGAACTTCGCCCCCAAGGGTGAGTTTGGAGAGGAAGAAGCAGCCCTCTGGTTCCCGAAGCTGCAGTTACTGCGTCCTCGGCTTGTCCCGCGGCGCTGGACCCGCGCGTGCCGCAAACTGCGTCCAGTTCAGGCAGCTTTGCTGTTGTTTTCTGCTGAAGGTCCATGTCGTTGGGAAAGTGGCTCGCAGCAAAGCGATCCTGGGGAGCGGCCTGCATGTCCAGTGCCTTGACCAATGCTAAACAAGCCCAACTTCACATAAGATTCCAAATATTGAAGTGATGTTATATAGAAATTATATAAAAGGGATAAGTCACATGGAGGGATCCTTTAAGAATTTTATAAGAGACAGCCAGGAAGGGCAGGTTCCCTCTGCTCTGTGGCACCCTATGTGTGCAGCTTCTAAAACTTTCTGCTCTGCCACAGGGAAATTTTGACTTACAGGTTTCTGAACAACCTTGGTATCAACTTGCCCGTTTTGTCTAAGATCACCAGCAATGGCAGAGCACTAAGGTGCTGGTGCTTCTGCTCTGGACATCATGTTTCCAAACTACAAGCAGCTTTGGACCTGCTGTTTGCTTGTGTGCCTTGGTCTTGTCTCTCCTAGCCCAACAAGAGCCCTTCCAGGTGGCTGCTTCACAGGAGTGTCGGGACATAGAAACACACTTTGATCTGTGTAGGCACAAAGGTGCTATAAAGTATTTCAGACTGGGAAGGAAGGAAGGAAGGAGGGAGCTCCAGGCTTTAATGGAGGTTTGACTGTCTTCCAGAGCTCATCATCACTGCTGGAGGTGAGAACATTCCCCCTGTTCCCATTGAGGATGCTGTAAAAGAGGCTGTTCCCATCATTAGCAACGCGATGTTGGTTGGAGACAAAGCAAAATTCCTTGCTATGCTCTTGACACTAAAGGTAGGATTGATTCTGCCTATTTACAATGATAGCAAAAATAGGACGGAGAATCTGTCATGGGATAGAGCTGAAAGGACATAGATCATTGTGCAGTTCCAAGGGGAAGCATTCCTGTGGAATGTTCTACGGTGTCTTATTTTTTTTAGAGCCTGGAGGCATCATGGAGCGTGACTTGCTTTAGCTGAGTAGCCAACACCAGTTGTAGCATAATGAGTATTTGTCATTTGGTCAAATGAAATTTGTTTGCTGATCAGGGCAAGCATTTTTCTCTATTCCACGCTGGATGGAAAATAGAAGGAAAAAGAAGCAAAAGACGCAGTAGTCAGACTGTTAAAGAAATCCTTCTGCAGTGTCTCCCAGGGTAGCCTAGACAGTTACTGTCGGGCGGTTGTTTTTTAAGGCTGTTTCTAAACTCTGTCGTGACACATTCGCAGTGGTCAGTCTACGCAGACACCTCTGTCCCGGATTGGAGAGACCCTGCAGGCCTGTGTTTTTCAGGACACTGGTAGCTGCTTCTTGTGGAGACCTTGGCTGCCACCCTCCAGCCTTGCGGAACGGGCACCGAGCCAGGCCCTGGGGCCAGTTGGGCTGCGCTTGTTTTCAGTTAGGTGCCACACGTGTCCCTTTGCAACGGACCGTTGTGCTGCTGTGGGATGTAGTAAGGAAAAGCAGCCCAGGAAAAGGAGGCAGAATTTGGCAGACTCTTCTATACCCCGCTTGCTCCTTCAGAGCAAGACCCTTGCAGATACTGAATATGTGGAGGTTTGAGGTGGTTTAATTTGCGTTTTGCCTCAGTGGGTTTTGGTTGGAAGCAGAGGTTTGTGTAAAGGTTACGAAATCGACAGCGGTTGATTAATTGCACCATTGGTACTGGGGTGGGGAAGGAGATACAGCAGCTTCCCACGGCTGTAAAGCTCATTAGTATAAAAGGAGACAAATGTTTGGTAATGCTGAAGCTGCCTGTTCTGTCTTGTCTCACAGTGCCAAGTGAACGAGGAAAGTGGGGAGCCGGGAGATGAGCTCACTCCAGAAGCCATTGAATACTGCCAAAAGCTGGGCAGCAAGGCGACCAGAATCTCGGAAATCATACGGAGCAAAGACCAAGCCGTCTACGCTGCTATCCAGAAGGGAATTTCAGCGGTCAACGAGCGAGCGGTCTCGAATGCCCAGAAAGTCCAGAAGTGGGCCCTGCTGGAAAAAGACTTTTCTATCTTTGGGGGAGAGCTTGGTGAGTGGCAACACGTCTCGGCGCAACCACAACTGTCCTTCCTGCCAGGTAGCCCTGAGCCCTCAATACAAACCCAGCCAGGCCCTTCTGCTGCTGCTCCTCCATGTTTAGTTTTGTTTGGTTTTGGCTTGCACAGTTCCTCACTGCCCAACAGTGGAACTCTGGGGAACGGAGGCCCTTCCAAACAGGTGGGGTAGCACAAGGCAACGCCGGCCATCGGGGCCGTGCAGAGCGCTGTGTCCGACACAGCCTGTTGCTGTTTCTCCTTGTGCAGCAGATCTTCCTGTGCCGGCAGGGTTGGATGGATTATCTTGTACTTCCTAATTCTGTCAGGTGGCAACAACTTGCAGGGTGCTGCTGAGCTTTGCCTTGATTGTTGGGTGAATTGTTGTGCTGATTCTAACCCCTTGGGGAAGGAACTTTTATTAATCACAAAGAGCAGAAGAGCTCTGCTTGTGCAGTCGAGCCTTCCTCTAGGCTTGGTTCAGTCTGGTACTGACGCATGTCTCAAATGGGAGCAGCTGTAGAATTCACCCTATTTGAAGCCCTGTGTTGTGCTTCCTTCCCTGCAGGCCCAACCATGAAGCTGAAGAGAGCGGTGGTGGCTCAGAAGTACAAGGAGCAAATCGAGCGGTTCTATACGGACGCAGAGACGCCCACCACGACAGAGACCAGTGCTCAGAAGTGAGACGGGCTCCGGGACGCGCTCCGAAACGCTCCTGCTGCGAGCGGAGCAGCGGCAGGGGCTCCTAAGGAAGGAGTAGATGCGTTTGCTGAAATAAATGAGGCTCAGTCATCATGCAGCCCTCTGAATCGCTTAACTGAATGACTTTTGGCCCTCTTACTGCAGAATGCTGTGCGCGTTAGGTGCCCAGTGTTTTCTTGTATGTTTGTTCTAGTGCAGAGATATTTATAAATATCTTTGTGTCGTTATTTTCTTCTTTACTTTTTGTAAGGACAAAAATCTTTGCAGAACAGCTGTCGGCAATTCATTATTTATCATATAAAACCATGGCATAATGTTGTTTTGTAACCAAAGTTTTCTTTCAGTAAGTTGAATGTAAAACAGAAGCAGCAGTTTTCCTGCTAGGGGAAAGGCTGTGTGCTTTTTATGACTGTACATTTCTTTTTTTCCCTTGCTGCATGTTTATCTGCATGCTGATGACATCTGAATTATTTTAAAATCTTCCCCACCACCTGTCTTCTGTCAGCTAAGGTATGTTGTACAGTGGTACACATGGGATAAGTGTATCTAAAACCTGGGGTTTACTAGCTCTGTCTGTGCAATATATTGAGCCTCAGTTCTAGCTTGTTGAGTTATATTGTTAAAAATGTGGCCTGTGTTCTAAGCAGCATTCCACAAAGGGACCAGTTATAAGGCTGTACAAATGTGTGTGAAACGTGGCTGGAGTCTCAGTCACAGAAGGGGTGTCCAGGACTTTGTGAAAAGGGCTGAACTCTGGGGCGGTGGGGTGGGATGGGCTGAGGTGCATGTGTAGATAGGAGAGAGCAGCAGCAACTAGGTTGTTCAGAAGGTCATTGATTTGCAGAACTGTGTTCGACCACTCTGGAAAAACATCCAGGAAAGGCAGCCTTTACACTTAACTAATCAGGTGTAGGTCAGAGCTAGATTTGGAAAGCTTTCTGCAAAGTGTGGGGCAACGTACCCACTAAAAATAACACCTG